CCACGGAGTCATTGCCTCTTCCTTTCCTCCCAGGGCTCGGCCTCCTTGGCCTCCTTCCATCCAGAGGGGCCTCTTCTCTCCTCTGGCCTCTCTGGATGCTCTGGCAACCATGAACCGCCAGTTTAGCTCTCGGTCTGCGTTCAGCTCAAGCAGCAGGCGGGTTTGCAGTGCTGGCTCTTCTGCTGGCTCTGGGGCTGGGGGCCGTGCCCTGGGCTCTGTGTGTTTCGCCCGAAGATGCTGTGGCAGTGGTGGACATGAGGGCTATGGGAGGGGGGTTAGCTCTAGAAGCCTCTACAACCTGGGCGGCAGCAAAAGCATATTCTTAAACCTGGTGGTGGGAAGTGCCAGTGGTTTCCACCAGGCTGGTGGAATAGGGGGAGGATGCGGAGGAGGCAGAAGCTTTGGGGGTGGTGGCTTTGGGGGTGGCGGCTCTGGGGGTAGCGGCTATGGAGGAGGTGTTTTTGGTAGTGCTGGGTTTGGGGGCAGCGGTTTTGGCCTTGGGGGCTTTGGTCCTTCTTGTCCCCCGGGGGGCATCCAAGAGGTGACCATCAACCAGAGCCTCCTACAGCCGCTACACCTGGAGGTGGACCCTGAAATTCAGAGGGTCAAGACCAAGGAGTGGGAGCAAGTCATGGCTCTAAACAACAAGTTCGCCTCCTTCATTGACAAGGTGAGTGTCTCAGGGGCAGGCAGGGCTTCTGATTAGAAGGGCCGCACCCTCTGACATAACTTCACATCACACATAGGCCTCTGGTGGTCAAGACAGGTTGCAGATGCGTGTCCTGGCGCTATAGGAAAGCACCCATCCCATTTAGGTCTCCCTCCATCTGTCTTCACGGGGTGGGGGTGGGGTGGGGTAGGGAGGGGGCGGGGTGGGGGTGAGAGCGGGATTTGGGATTTGTTTTTATCTTTTCCTCTTGACAAGGAAGCAGATAAGAGGTGTGAAATGCCCAACAATCCAACTGGATGATGTCAGAACTCCATTCTCATCCATCCGTATTCATTTTCATCAATCTAATCACCAGCACATCTATCCATTCACCCACCAGTCCAGCCAGCCAACAGACTCAAAGTATCTACCATATGCCACACATCTCATACCCCACAGGGCATACCGCAGGGGTTTCTAGGGCACGGGTGCTTCTCTCAAGAAACCCCAGATCTTGAGGGGAGATAACGAAGACAGAGGCCTGGCAATGGGGCAACCTTGAGGAATTTGACATAGTTTAAATGCCTGGAGAGGAGGATGTGACAGGAGGAAGAAGAAGGAGGTGGAGGTGCAGAGCAGGCAAGGTGGATGGGTTTGTCAGAGCCTGGGAGAATGCCTTGCCGGGCACTCCTGGGAGCTAAAGTTAGTAGTCTTCTACCATGTAGCGTTCTAACAGACCTTCTCCTTTCGGCTCAAGGGCCAAAAATGGACCAGAAGGAGTGGTAGGAGGAGCCCCTCTCTCTAGTTCCCCGATTAAACCTCAGATGATGCCTGATTTAGCACCAAATCTCCAAGCAGAGGCTATTGGAGCAGCTATGGCAAAGGCCTTTCTTCGGCATTCCTTTCTGTCCAGGGACGGATGCCTGCTGGTCACTGGAGGCTCCCTAGAGAGTGCTTAGTCTTTAGGGAGTGAGGTGGGAGGCACAAAGAGCCCCCACCCCCAGATGCCTTTCATTTGATCCCCATGAGGGTTTGGTGTTGAGGCCAGAACGTTCCCTGGGCTCACCCTGGCTCTAGCCCACTGCTAGGTTGTGCATGGCCCCTGATAGCTGGGAAGTGCAGGGGACGGGCCAGAGTGATGAAGACCCGCGAAGGCTCACAAGGTTTCCAATAGCAAGTGCCACTTACTGGCTACTGTTGAGCACCAGGGATGCGAGACAGGGTGGAAGGCAATCATGTGACAGGCTGACTCAGGGAAAGGTTTGGAAGGGGAAGGAGGCCCCTCTGGGAGCTCAAGGCTAAGCCAAGGCAGGATCAGAGAGAAGAGAGGGCGGGGGTCAATAGAAGGGCCACAGGCTGCTGGCAGCCCATCTCTTGACACTCATTTGACTACGGTTCCTGCAGGGCACCCACTGGGTTGTAGGGCACTGACTGTGATGACCAGGAGAAGTTCCTCAGCCCAGGTGAACCTGGCCTGACTGGAAGGAACGGGTTACTAGTGCAGTGGCTTCTGACTCTGCCTTCCAAGTGGGTCTCCTGCCTCTCACCTCTGTCCTCAACACTGCACCACAGGCAGCCTTTGGAGACAACATCATACCTCCACGTGAGCTCTCTGTTGGCTTCTTAGTCTACAAGACCCTCTATAACCTGGCCCTCCAAAGAAAGTCCCAATTCTATAAGATCTTATATAGCCTGGTCCCCCAAAGAACGCCCTAAGTCTATAAGACCCCACATAATCTCGCCCTCCAAAGAAAGCCCTAATTCTACAAGACCCTCTATAACCTGGCCCTCCAAACCGCCGGTGACTGCTAGGTACTCTTTCAGTGGTCAAATCACACGAACCTTGCCTGCTACCCTCTGAAGCTAGCTTCTGCCACCAACAATTGGGTGACCTCCGAGGACCTAGAGAGCCCTGGTCGTGCAGTAGGGTATGGCTTGGGCTGCTAACCGCAAGGCCAGCACTTCAAAACCTCCAGGTGCTCCATGAGAGAAAGAGGAGGTTTTCTACTTCCGTCAAGATTGGGTCTTGGACACCCCCGGGGGCAGTTCTGCTCTGACCTGTAGGGTTGATACCAGTCAGAGTGGGCTCCAGGGCAGTGAGTTTGTGTGCTGGGGGAAGAGGACTACCCTTTCTTTTCCTGAGCTCCCGAAGTGGCGTGTGTCGGAGGGGCCTTAGCTCACACGACCACGGGCTGATGGCCACCCATATCCTACGATGTTCATTTGGTGCCCTCAAACCTCACTGCCAGGGAGTCAACTCTGACTCCTGGCCACCCTAGAAGGCAGGGAAGAGCTGCCTCTGAAGCAGCGGTTCTCAACCTGTGGGTCAAGACCCCTGGGGGGGGGAAGGGGTGGTCAGACGACCTTTTCACAGGGGGCGCCCGATTCATAACAGTAGCAAAATTACAGTGATGAAGTAGCAGCAAAAAGAGTTTGACGGTTGGCGGTGGGGGGCGGGGGGTCACCACAACATGAACTGTATGAAAGGGTCACGGCATTAGGAAGGTTGAGAACCACTGCCCCATGGGTTTCGGAGACCGTAACTCTTTATGGTGGTTTCAAACTGCCGACTGTCAGGTTAATAGTCCAGTAGTGTAACCACTACTCCACCCAGGCTCATTTGATTAGCGTTCAAAATCGCCCGATTGGGTCTCTGTTGGCTGTTTTAGTGGGAACCCCCTTCAGACCATAAGAGGCTTTCTTTCGGTCCCCACAGTGTGACCACAGAGCTGTGAGTGAGTGTCATGTCGATTTCCCCACTTCCTGGGGAGTGTCAGCCCAGAGTAAAAATAGGCCAGGTGACAGGAATTTCTCACGGGCTTTACGGGTTGTACTGGCGAGCCTGTGAGAATGGGTTGCTTCACCTCAGGCTTTGGTAAAACCAACAAAAATAAGTCATGAGAAACAGGGATGTCTCTTCTAGCACCTTCTAGCCTGGAGTCAGACAGAACAAAAAGGAATGAACCAGGCCTAGCCCCTCAGAGGGGCAAGCGGGTCCAGGGCTGGGGCATCTGGGTACCCTTTGAGTTCCTGGTGGCAGGGGAGTGTCTTCTGGGCTCTGTTGTAAGAGACATTGTCATCCCAACTGCACAACTTCATGGGCGTGGCCACACACTTGGTTCCTGGAGGAGGGAGCCCGATTCTGGGGAGGTGTGTGCGCACTCGCGCATGGGTGCGCACACCTGAGAAAAAACGTGAGACCAGAGTCCAGGTCTTTATCTCTACCCACAGCAAGGCGAGGGAGGGCCCCTCAGTGGGCAGACTGGTGGTGCCCATCGTGATCCTAAAAAAGGCAGCCTCTTCCTTTTTCTCTTGCAAATGAACATCCCCTGAACCTCCTCTCTGACTTCTTTACATCCACAGTTTGGGAACCGCCAGATGGAATGTGGTTTTGGGGCCCAGGTAGCATGACACAGAGTGATGGATCTCTGCTCCCCAGCCTCTGAGCTAATGAAGGCTAAGGATGTTTCCAAAACACTAGGCCACCCCAAGGCCTTACAGTCCCACGGAAACACAAGACATCATCTTTTTTAATGAGGACAAATGTACTGGAAACTTCTTGTCTCGGCATTTGAAAGTATTTAAAAGAGATCACCTTGCTGAAAAGCTTCCTTCGCCAAGAAATCCGTTTCATATTCTGGATCGAAGAGTTCTTGTGCTCCTCTTTCCTCGTCCTGTCCCAAATCCCATGAAGCTTGCCAAGAAATGCTTTTCAGAAACGACTCCGAGGTTTTTGTCAGCAGTGGGGCCACACAGAGAACCCAGGTGGACGGCGTGCATTCACGCTACAGAGGGTCATGGTTGAAGGAAAGGAGGCACGTGGTGGGACAGGATTCAGCCTTCCTGGTGGGAGGCAGTGTAGTGCAGTTCTGAGACACGCTGCCCTTACAGCCATTGCCCGGTCACCAGAAACCCCATCACCACTTCTGTGTCCGGGCTCCAGAGAAAGGGCAAGTCCTCTGGGCCCGAGAGGAGCCGTCTGGATACTTGGGAGTCTTGACTCCGCTTGGGGGTGCTGGTCCTCGCGCTGACCCAAGTCTGGGCTGGGCCGGGGGTCTCCTGCTTTTAGGTGAGGCTTCTGGAGCAGCAGAACCAGGTGCTGAAAATGAAATGGGAGCTGCTGCAGCAGGTGAACGTGTCTTCTGGGAAGCACAGCAACTTGGAGCCCATCTTTGAGTCCTACATCAGTAACCTGAGCAGAGAGGTGGACCGGCTCAAGGCGGAGCAGATGCGCCAGCACTCGGAGGTCAGGAGCATGCAGGACAGCGTGGAGGACTACAAGAACAAGTGAGGCTCCTGGAGGGGCAGAGGGTGGACTGGGTATTGAGTCACTGGGTCAAGGTCTTCTCCTCCTCCTCCTCCTCCTTTTTAAACATTGTATTGAGGGCTCTTACAGCTCTTGTAACAGTCCATACATCAATTATATCAAGCACATTTGTACACAGGTTGCCATCATTACTTTCTAGACATTCACTTTCTATTGAGCCCTTGGTGTCAGCTCCTCTTCCCCCACCCTCGTGGCCCCTTGATAAACTATTATTATTTTCATATCTTACACCCACCACTGTTTCCCTTCCCCCGTGGTTTCTGTTGTTGGCCCCCCACCCCTGCTGGTGGTGTTGGGGTGGTGTTGCAGTTATGTGTCGATCATCACGATCGGTTTCCCCCTTCCTCCCCTCTTCTTCCCACCTTCCCTCTACCCTTTTGGTACTCCCATTGCTGTTCCTGGATTCCGTGTGTTGTGAGCTTTTTTCTCTTATCTGTACCTGTGCACCTGCTCCGGTCTAGCCCACAGTGAAAGGCAAGACTGGGGTCATGATAGTGGGGGGTGAGGAAGCCTCAAGGAACCAGAGAAATATTGTGTGTTTTACCGGTGCTTTACGGCACCCTCATTGACTTATCCCTTCCCTGTGACCCCTCTGTGAGGGGATATCCCATTGTCTACAGATGGGCTTTGGGTCTCTGCTTCTTCGGATGTAGTGCTTGTGTGTTAGGGGTTGGGAAATGGGGCAGACCAGAGTCACCAGACACAGCCAGGCCAGCTCTGCTCTGCACAACTGCAGGTCACGCGGATTTGCCTATGGCTGCCCGGCTGGGATGGTTTGGACAGCCAGCTCCCAATGGGGCAGGGTGTCTCCATGGATACTGGAGTCACATAAGGCCCGGTTCTGCTGTGGGTGCTGGTACTTGCTCTCACTCATCGAGTCAATACTGACTCACAGCGAGCCCCTGTGTGGTTCTGAGACTGTAACTGTTCACGGGAGTAGAAAGCCCAGTCTTTCCTGTGAAGCTGCTGGTGGATTCAAACTGCCGACCCGGGGGACTGCAGCCCCACGCATAACCATGACACCACCAGGGCTCCAGTCATGCTTCCTAGCTGGAGGCAAATGATGCTTCCTCAGCCTTCGGCTCTCACCCTGGTAAAGTGGGGCTAGCGAGAGCAATGCCCTTGTTGGGTTGCTGTGAGGTATACACATCTGTGGTCTCAAGTTTCAGCGGCTATCAACTTGCTCAATCGGATAACTTCTCCACTTCCTCCTTCTCCCTCCCTCCCCCTGAAGTTGTCCTTCCACAGGCCCAGGACCAGCCTGCATGTAGAACACCTTTCCAGGTGATGCTGATGGTGCTGGGCTGGGACACACCTCGAGAACCATGAGTTTCCACGAAAGGAACCCTGGTGGCACAGTGTGCTAAGTATTGGGCTGCTCGCCACGAGGTTGGCAGTTCAAATCCACACTTCGCTCCACGAGAGAAAGAGGAGGCTATCTGCTCCCAACGAGATGTACATTCCGGAGAACCCCAGGGAGTAGTTCTACTCTGCCCTCCCGTGTGACGGGGAGCTGGTATCCACTCCACAGCAGTAGGCCTGATGTGGTTTTAGAAAACTGCCTCTGCGCAGGCCCTTGGTTCTGTGCTTCCACACAGTGCACCGTCTCCATCAGCACTGGATGTCATCAGGAACATCGCGAGCATCGGGCTCGGCGGAGCTCATTTCAGACCAGCTTCTCCGGCCTCAGGCTGGCATTCGCACGGTCTCTGTCCCTCCCCGAGCTGGGGGAGCAGGTCACTTCTCTTGCCACACCTCCCTGTGATCACTGCTTTGCATCAGTGGAAATCGAGTATATGTGAGTTGACCACAGATACAGGGAAGTGTCCATTGGGGTGCTAGGAGCCCAGAATTGTAGGTGAAACGTTTAACTCTGAATTCAAAAAATATATATTTTTTGGCAAGTGGTTCTTTCATGTCCTCAGTTGAAAAAAACAAAGACACTCGACAAGTTTACAAAGATTAAAAAAATCACAACTCAAATGGACGCTTTGGGTACCACGTGGCACCGGGTTTGGCATGCCTGGCTGTGGCCCCCTCGGTTGGACTGGAGAACCAGGCTCCAGCTCCTCAGCAGTGAGCGTGGCAGCCGAGGCCTGGGGAGGGCCGTCCTCCTATAGGTAGGGGTGGGCTTCACCCTCAGCCCCCGGAGATGTCCAGGAGCCCCCCAGCACTGCAGCTCCTCTGTGTGTCTTGCCTCCTCTCACAGGTACGAGGAGGAAATCAACCGGAGGACCAATGCGGAGAACGACTTTGTCGTCCTGAAGAAGGTGAGGGGGAAAGAGTGTAGAGCAACGGTGAGCCCGGGAGGCAGGGCACCACGAGGGCCGCCAGAGCCCTGCTGTCTGTGAGCTGTGTGAGAGCGGGCTCGAAGGAGTGCCTAGCTCAGTGTGTGTGCTGCCCAAACACTGGGACAAAGGCTTGAGAAAAGCAGGGTTTCGAAATGTATCCTGAAGGCAGGAGACGGAAACGGATGCTGGCGAGAATCTCTAGGCACCCTGTGCCAGAGCCCTGGTGATTCAGCAGTTCAAAACCACCAGCTGCCTCACAGGGGAAGGATGAGACTATCTACCCCTGTAAAGAGCCACTGTCTCAGAAGCCCACAGGGGCACCTCCACGCTGTACTGTAGGGCTGCCCTGCGTCCGAGTCACCTCGATGGCGGTGCATTTAAGCGAAGCACCTTTTGTTTCTGATCTCTCCAGGGTCCCCCAAATTGGATGAAATGGGTGACAGCTTCTGAATGTCCATTGTGCTTGGCTTTGCGCCGTGGCGTGGGACAGAGTGTTGTGTGTGACCTGACTCAGTGTGGGTTTTGTGCTGTCGTTCCTCCTTCATGCTGGGGGGCTAGGGTTGGCAGGCCCCTTGAGTGCCAGCGGTTCACGTCGGAGGTTTCAGTCCCCCCAGTGGAGCCTCCAAAGAAAGCCTCCAAAAAATGGGCCGTTCACACCCTGCAGAGTCCTGGTTTCCTCTGATATGCTTGAGGCCGCCAGGGGGTGGCGTGAACTCGGTAGCCGCTGGTCTGGCAGGCTTGGTTTGATCTGAGGGAGGCCGGTGGGTTGAGAGAGGCCCTGCCACTGGGCGCTGGGCCCTGTGAGGAGCTGCAAAGCCCAATGGCCTCTGTTTGCCGTCTAGGGTATGGACTCTGCTTATTCGGGCCAAGTGGACCTGCAGCCTAAGGTGGACATTCTCTTCGGGGAGATCAAGTTCCTGAAGTACTTATATAAGACGGTGAGTCCTGTTTTCCTGAAGAATCGTTCCTTTCTCACAGCCTCCATGGGGTACGGACGACAAGTTGGGGGGAATCGAGAATCCAGCATTCCTCACTAGGGGCCCAGCCCCCCCTGCTGTAGCCCATCCTTCAGCCCCCTGAATCCTCTGGAGTCCCAACTGGGGCCAGTGGAGGTGAAACAGTCCCCGATGTCCTGCATCCTGGTCTCTCCGAGCAATGAGGCTGGCGCCCAGGGCACCCAGGGGCACAGGCATCCGGAAGTCTATGGATTCCATGTCGCAGCTCCCCCGAGGGCAATAAAAATGCTCTTCATCAGTGCTGGGAAGCAGAGAGGGCTGAGAGGGTTCCACTAGAGGATGGCAGGGTGAAGACCAATGCTGGAGTGGGGGTTGGGGGGGTTGGTAAACTCCTGCCCAGGTTCAACTTGGGGACACTTGCCCGGGGCCAGCTGCTCCGCGACTGGGAATCTCAAGTCTCACTCCAGAGGAAACGGAGGAAATTCCATGCTTGGCTTTGGCACACAGCTTATCCACAGCAGAGCGGGGTCAGGAGACTGAGTCTGAGTGGCTCCCCAGTGGAAGCTTCCTGGTGGCCCAGAGAGCCCAGGAGAGGCTCGGAGAGGGAAAACCTGCATGGGGTTTTAAGGAACAAGCCAGCCACGTCAGGGGGCCAGACTGAGGAGGTTGCCAGTGGGACAAAGCAAGCAGGGGCAGGCAGCAGAGGGAGGCGGTGTCTGCCACGCTCGGCCCCGCCCCTTCCTTCTCCCTGGAGACTAGGTCGAGATCACCTTAGCGAAGGCGACAACCTAAAGGCGTCTCCCCAGGACTCCCACCTGGCTGAGGCTTTGGACTGCACCCTTGTCCCTCCCTCCCCCTCCCCACCCCCCAGAAAACCTTGACGGAGGAAGTCAAAGCTCTAGAAGGAGGAGTGTGGGAGGAGTCACCTGTCCCCATGCCTCACAGGAGCTGTCCCAGGTGCAGACGCACATCAGTGACACCAACATCATCCTGTCCATGGACAACAACCGCTTCCTGGACCTCGACAGCATCATCGATGCCGTGCAGACCCAGTATGAGCTGATCTCCCAGAGGAGCAAGGATGAGGCTGAGATGCTGTACCAGACCAAGGTGGGCACCCCCCCTCCCACCCCCTCCAGAGTGGAACTGCTCCTGGGTGGGGGGGCGGTTCCGAGGCTATATATCTTTATGGGGGCAGGCAGCCTCATCTTTCTGCTGCAGGGTGGCTGGTGGGTTTGAACTGCCACCTTGCATTACTTGTGGCAAAGTCTCCTCCTGGCCGATCCCTGTGCCACTGTCCTGCAGACAGGTCTTCTGGGGGCTGAAGGGGGTGCCAGCATCAGCGTGAGGGGGTGGGGCAGGCAGAGAGGGAAGAACTCCGATCGCAGAGATCCTCTCGGGCCTCGCCTCCTGCTGGGCCTCTCCACACTGTGCTGACCGACGGAGCGGCGCAGACCCTGGACAGGAGGCCGAGGGAAAGGCCTGGGGTCTGAGCATGCTAAGGGCCTGGGCACACGAGGGCCTGGCTCCGGGGAAAAGGAACCTTGGAAAAGAGCAGGGAGGAACATGACCGATGGCACAGGGGGTCGCGGGGGTCCAGTGTGTGTAAGGCCCAGTGTGATGGCTGGCTGAGGCACGGGGAAAAAAAGTCAGAAGGGCACCGAGGGGCAGGTTTGCCCAGCCCCTCGGGACATGGGTCTGACTCGGGGGCTGGTGGGGAGGAGGGCAGCTTGTGTGCAGGGAGGGGAGGTCACAGTTCTCACTGCGATTGCAGCCCTGGGCAGGGTCTGGCAAGGTGGGCAGTGGGAGGGAGCTAACTCCGTGCTTGCACTGCGCCGCCGCAGTACCAGGAGCTCCAGATCACAGCGGGCAGGCATGGGGATGACCTCAAGAGCATCAAGACGGATATCTCCGAGCTCCACCAAGTCATCCAGAGGCTGCGGGCGGAGATCGACAGTGTGAAGAAGCAGGTGTGATAGGGGCCCTGGGTGGGCTGTCTGGGCACACTGCCTCCCCCCAGGCCCTCCCAGAAACTCCCCCTCCTCGTGGTGTCTCCTCCCCATGCCCTGAGCAGATCCAGCAGATACAAAGGGCCATCTCCGGTGCTGAGGAGAGAGGGGAGCGGGCCCTGCAGGATGCGAGGCAGAAGCTGCAGGACATGGAGGAGGCCCTGCAGCAGGTCAAGGAGAACCTGGCCCGCCTGCTGCGCGACTACCAGC